ATTCTTGCCTATTATAATTGTAATATAAATAACGTGGTTTACTGTTGGCCCTTGAACAACGTGGGTTTGAACTGTGTAGGTCCACATATAGGCAGATTTTTTCAACCAAACATGGATGGAAAGTACAGTATTTCCAGGATGCAAAACCTGCCTATGCAGAGGGCTGAATTTTCACGTATATAGGTTCCACAGGGCTTACTACAGGAATTGAGTAAGTACAGATTTGGGTATAACCATGCATACTGAGGAACGGCTCTAATTTAAAATGACGTTAGAATAAAATCAAAACGGTTTACACCATAGGTTTCCTTTCATTTACATGCGTGTTAGGAGGCTTTATTTACTCCTATATATATATGATGGAAAGTTGTTGATGACCTGTCTGTCATTAGTGTAAGTAACACAATTTGCCTTTGTTCTGGCAGGGAGTTAACTATTATAGTTTCATGTTACCCCAGCATTTAGAATATAAACAGGTTGACATTGCCTGCACCAAACTCTAATCTCAACAACGTATTATCACCATGCTGTTTGTAACTGCATGAGCCTATCGCCTCATATGCTCTATTATGGTCTCAGATGTATAATTTTATTTGCAGAATACTCATCATTAATATTTGATTGAAAATTTTATTCTGAACAGTTATTAACTGGCCAGTTGCATTATCTTTACAAGGTGGAATACATTCATATACATTGTCTTTCTGATTTTTGAAGCTCTTCAGTAAATGTGTTTGCATTGTCTGTTCTTTTCCTGTTGTCTTTCTTTTTTTCCTATACGCAGTGTCCTCCAGGAATGAAACAGCAGGTTTTGGTTTTCTATACAAAACTCCTGGGAAGAATCCGGCAGCCACTACTTCCACACATTAACGTGCACAGGCCAGTGCAGGTATTTGCTTCCTTTACATAAAATTATTTGGTTTATTTTAATGTTGAAATTTTCTAAGAGTAAAAGCAAAGAAATTATTCTAAAAGTAACATGCAAATTAGCAAATACTCAAGTTTTCTTTATGCATCACATAGCATTAAGTGTACTTAATGCCTTTCTTCTTCTCTTTTAAAATTTTATACATGAATTTTCCTTTTATTTTACCTCCATGATGTCTAAAGGAGAATTTATTATGTAACTTATTAATTATTTACAGTAATGAACTTGAAAAATTTACTAAGTTTATTTTGATATAGATAATCATAAATATTATTAGTGTTCTGATTAGGGCAGGGTATTTGCATTATATGAAAATTTTAAATATCCTTAAGGTAAATGGATGGTTATTTTACAAATTCATAAAACGTGACCTAAGTTTAAAAAGTTAAAAAAATTTTTTTTCACAGAAATTAATTCGACTCTGTGGTGAAGTCCTTGCAACACCAACAGAAAATGAAGAGATTCAGTTTCTTTGTATCGTGTGTGCAAAGCTGAAACAGGATCCCTACCTGGTTAACTTTTTTCTAGAGGTATGATACACTTCTTGTCAACCTTCAAATTATAATTACATTAAGATCATTATGAAAATTGAATTCTATGAATAATATTAGAAGGAGTTATGTTTTGCGGGTTATTAGCTTGTTTTACTTCTCAGAATTATTTTTCCTTTAAGATCACTGTTTTATTCTCCTGGGAGAAAAGCATTTCAAAGAATGCAGTTGAGCCAGATATATGAGATGGTACAGGGACTGGACAGATACAAAGTCACAGCTTAAAAGAGGGCAGCTCGAAGAGTGAATCAGAGATAGACAAGTCGCAGAAATTGATATGCTATCATATTTTCCGTCAAGTTTGCCCTAGTATGTAGCATGGGAAATCTGGCCTGGGATAAGGATGGCATGTGCAGATTTGGACAAGATGGAAAAAAGCACAAGTTATCTCTCCAACCTCATAGCAGTTGGGATTGCTGTAGTATTTTGTACTGTTTTGATGGCCATAATCACTGAATCAGAGTTTACTTAAATCAAGTGGTATTTTGGATTTTACTTCCAGATTTAAAGTAAAAAATACATTTTTGTACTTTTTGCTTTCATTCACTTCTTTTTTTCAGCAGTGAAATCATTTTGGAATATTTTAGAAAAAAATGGGCCAGGTGTGGTGGCTCACATCTGTAATCCCAGCACTTTGGAAGGCTGAGGCGGGCAGATCACAAGGTCAGGAGTTTAAGACTAGCCTGGCCATCATGGTGAAACCCCGCCTCTACTAAAAGTACAAAAATTAGCATGGCGTGGTGCTGGGCACCTGCAGTCCCAGCTACTCAGGAGGCTGAGGCTAGGGAATTACTTGAACTTGGGAGGCTGAGGTTGCAATGAGCTGAGATCGCGCCACTGCACTCCCATCTGAGTGACAGGGCGAGAATGTCTTAAAAAAAAAAAAGAGAAAATGATGTTGTTTTTGTCTTTTTACCTTTTTGTTTGTTTGTAATTGTTTGTAATTTATTTCTATTTTTATTTTTTTGAGTCAGGGTCTTGCTTTGTAGCCCAGGCTGGAGTATGAGGACGTGACCATGGCTCACTGCAGCCTTGACCCTCCCTGGTTTAGTGATCCTCCCACCTCAGGCTGCCAAGTAGCTGGGACTACAGGTGCGCACCACCACACCTGGCTAATATAAAAAATTTTTTTGTAGAGATGGGGTTTACCTGTGTTGCTCAGGCACGTCTCAAACTCCTGAGCTGAAGCAATCCTCCTATCTCAGCCTCCCAAAGGGCTAAGATTATAGGCATGAGCCACCACACCTGGCCTTCTTTTTCATTTTTTTTAAAAATATTTTTCTGGCTAGGCACGGTGGCTCACACCTGTAATCCTAGCACTTTATGAGGCTAAGGCAGGTGGATCAGTTGAAGTCAGGAGCTCGAGAGCAGCCTGATCAACGTGGTGAAACCCTGTTTCTACTAAAAATACAAACCTTAGCTGGGCGTGGAAGTGCACACCTGTAATCATAGTTATTTGGTAGGCTGAGTCAGGAGAATCACTTGAGCCTGGGAGGCAGAGATTGCAGTGACCCAAGATTGCAGCACTGCACTTCAGCCTGTGCAACAGAGTAAGATTCCATCTCAAAAAAATAAAGAATACATAAATACATAAATGTTTCTTCCTTTTTCTTTTTTTTGCTTTAAGATATAAGTTACATACAATAGAATTCACTCTTTGGTCTACGTTCTATGAGCTTGATGAACACAGCTGTGTGACCACTACCACAATGTGCAAGAGCTGTGTCACACTACCCCACAACCCTTTGTAGTCAGCCCTTTTCCACCCACCCCCTAGCAGTCACTGATCTATTTTCCGTCCCAATAGTTTTCTGTTTCCCAAAAAGTCACAGCAATGTAATTAGCCTTTTGATTCTGGCTTTTTAAAGTTAGCTTATTGCATTAGAGATTCATCCATGATTTTGTTCCTTTACGTTATTGAATGGTATACCATTGTATGGATGTCCCACAGTTGTTTATCCATATGCCAGTGAGGAACTTTTGGGTTATTTTTAATTTTTTATCATTGAGGATAAAACCACTGAAGACATCACACACAGACTTTTGTGTGGATTTAGGTTTTCATTTCACTTGGATAAATAGGTAGCGTAGGATCACTGGATCATATGGTAAGTGTACATTTATTTTCATAAGGAACTGCCAAACTCTCTCCCAAGTAGCTTTGCCATTTTGCATCCCGTCAATACTGTACGTGAGCTCCTGGTGTTCCACAGTGTCATCAGCACTAGATGTTGTTAGGTCTTTGTTTTGTTATTTTTATTTTTATTTTTTCCCCCATTTATTTATTTTATTGCATTTTAGGTTTTGGGGTACATGTGAAGAACATGCAAAATTGTTGCATAGTTACACATGTGGCAGTGTGATTTGCTGCCTTCCTCCCCATCACCTACATCTGGCATTTCTTCCCTTGCTATCTCTCCCCAGCTCCCCACCTGCCATCGTCCCTCCTCTATTTCCCCCCAACTGACCCCAGAGTGTAGTGCTCCCCTCCCTGTGTCCATGTGTTCTCATTGTTCAACACCCGCCTATGAGTGAGAACATGTGGTGTTTGATCTTCTGCTCTTCTGTCAGTTTGCTGAGAATGATGGCTTCCAGGTTCATCCATGTCCCTACAAAGGACACAAACTCATCGTTTTTGATGGCTGCATAATATTCCATGGTGTATATGTGCCACATTTTCCCTATCCAGTCTATCGTCGATGGGCATTTGGGTTGGTTCCAGGTCTTTGCTATTGTAAACAGTGCTGCAATGAACATTTGTGTGCACGTGTCCTTATAGTAGAACGATTTGTAATCCTTTGGATATATAACCAGTAATGGGATTGCTGGGTCAAATGGAATTTCTATTTCTACGTCCTTGAGGAATCGCCACACTGTCTTCCACAATGGTTGAACTAATTTACACTCCCACCAACAGTGCAAAAGTGTTCCCATTTCTCCACATCCTCTCCAGCATCTGTTGTCTCCAGATTTTTTAATGATCGCCATTCTAACTGGTGTGAGATGGTATCTCAATGTTGTTTTGATTTGCATTTCTCTGATGACCAGTGATGATGAGCATTTTTTCATGTTTGTTGGCCTCATGTATGTCTTCTTTTGTAAAGTGTCTGTTCATATCCTTTGCCCACTTTTAAATGGGCTTGTTAGTTTTTTTCTTGTAAATCTGTTTTAGTTCTTTGTAAATTCTGGATATCAGCCCTTTGTCAGATGGGTAAGCTGCAAAAACTTTTTCCCATTCTATTGGTTGCCGATTCACTCTAATGACTGTTTCTTTTTTTTTTTTTTTTTTTTTGGGACAGAGTTTTGCTCTTTTTTCCCCGGGTGGAGTGCAATGGCGCAATCTCGGCTCACCGCAACCTCCGCGTCCTGGGTTCAGGCAATTCTCCTGCCTCAGCCTCCTGAGTAGCTGGGATTACAGGCACGCGCCACCATGTCCAGCTAATTTTTTGTAGTTTTTGTAGAGACGGGGTTTCACCGTGTTGACCAAGATGGTCTCGATCTCTTGACCTCGTGATCCACCCGCCTCGGCCTCCCAAAGTGCTGGGATTACAGGCTTGAGCCACCGCGCCCGGCCTCTAATGACTGTTTCTTTTGCTGTGCAGAAGCTGTGGAGTTTGGTTAGGTCCCATCTGTCTATTTTGGCTTTTGTTGTCAATGCTTTTGGTGTTTTGGTCATGAAGTCCTTGCCTACACCTATGTCCTGAATGGTTTTGCCTAGATTTTCTTCTAGGGTTTTTATGGTGTTAGGTCTTATGTTTAAGCCTTTAATCCATCTGGAGTTAATTTTAGTGTAAGGTGTCAGGAAGGGGTCCAGTTTCTGCTTTCTGCACATGGCTAGCCAGCTTTCCTAACACCATTTATTGAACAGGGAATCCTTTCCCCATTGCTTGTTTTTGTCTGGTTTGTCAAAGATCAGATGGTTGTAGATATGTTGTGTTGCCTCCGAGACCTCTGTTCTGTTCCATTGGTCTATATCTCTGTTTTGGTACCAGTACCATGCTGTTTTGATTACTGTAGCCTTGTAGTATAGTTTGAAGTCTGGTAGTGTGATGCCTCCCGCTTTGTTCTTTTTGCTTAGAATTGAGTTGGCTATGCAGGCTCTCTTTTGGTTCCATATGAAGTTTAAGGTGTTTTTTTCCAGTTCTGTGAAGAAGGTCATTGGTAGCTTGATGGGGATAGCATTGAATCTGTAAATTACTTTGGGCAGTATGGCCATTTTCACGATATTGATTTTTCCTAACCATGAACATGGAATGTTTCTCCATCTGTTTGTGTCCTCTCTTATTTCGTTGAGCAGTGGTTTGTAGTTCTCCTTGAAGAGGTCCTTTACGTTCCTTGTTAGTTGTATTCCTAGGTATTTTATTCTCTTTGTGGCAATTGTGAATGGAAATTTGTTCTTGATTTGGCTCTCTTTAAGTCTGTTATTGGTGTATGGGAATGCATGTGATTTTTGCACACTGATTTTGTATCCTGAGACTTTGCTGAAGTTGCTTATCAGTTTCAGGAGATTTGGGGCTGAGACGATGGGGTCTTCTAGATATACAATCATGTCGTCTGCAAATAGAGACAATTCGACTTCCTCCTTTCCTATTTGAATATCCTTTATTTCTTTTTCTTGCCTGATTGCTCTGGCTAGAACTTCTAATACTATATTGAATAGCAGTGGTGAGAGAGGGCATCCTTGTCTGGTGCCACATTTCAAGGGGAATGCTTCCAGTTTTTGCCCATTCAGTATGATATTGGCTGTTGGTTTGTCATAAATAGCTTTTATTATTTTGAGATACGTTCCATCAATACCTAGCTTATTGAGGGTTTTTAGCATAAAGGGCTGTTGAATTTTGTCAAAGGCCTTCTCTGCATCAATTGAGATAATCATGTGGTTTTTGTCTTTGGTTCTGTTTATGTAGTGAATTACATTTATAGACTTGCGTATGTTGAACCAGCCTTGCATCCCTGGGATGAAGCCTACTTGATCATGGTGGATAAGCTTTTTGATGTGCTGTTGCAATCGGCTTGTCAGTATTTTATTGAAGATTTTTGCATCTATGTTAATCATGGATATTGGCCTGAAGTTTTCTTTTCTTGTTGAGTCTCTGTCGGGTTTTGGAATCAGGATGATGTTGGTCTCATAAAATGATTTGGGAAGAATTCCCTCTTTTCGTATTGTTTGGAATAGTTTCAGAAGGAATGGTACCAGCTCCTCTTTGTATGCCTGGTAGAACTCGGCTGTGAACCCGTCTGGACCTGGGCTTTTTTTGGGTGGTAAGCTCTTAATTGCTGCCTCAACTTCAGACCTTGTTATGGGTCTGTGTTATTTTTAAATGTTAGCCACTCTTATAATATATGGGTTTTGTTTTCTATTTTACATTACTAAGTAATTTGGCATTCTATTCTGGACTCTTAACTGGAGTTAGGTAAGCAGCTAAGCTGCAAGATTTCGTGAATTTAAATTCTAGGTCGTGTTAAGGATGATGAGTGCCCTTAACAGTCGTCATGTGTATCATGAGTTTCTCGTCATGTGCATTATATTTTATATCATCTTTTCTATATTTGCTTCAAAATGGTAGAACAATCTTATGATTTTGGATTTCTGAAGATTTATAATGGTATTAGAGTTTTTTAGGTTTTTGTGTACTTATGAGAAATAGTTTGGCTGTGAGATTTTTCTTCTCAAAGTTCAGTTTCACTAAAGTTTTCTTAAACTTAGTGTACTTGGTTGAAGGCATAGGTTTTTTTTTTTTTTCCCCAAACTTAAGCCTGGAGAATTTCTTTCTCAAAAATCTCTGAAACTTGTTTTCTAAGTGCCTAGCATAGATCAGTAGCAGACAAAATATGTAGGCTTATATAATGTTCATGGTGAGGTACATGGTATGTACCTGTCTTTAGAAAAGCATTTACGTTTAAACCTCACTGCAAAGAATACCACTCAGAATTAGTGACATGACTGCTTTGTGCAGTGTTTTTATAACATATTCTCCAAAGCCTGAGGTAGTAGGTGTCTGCATTTTTTTAATGAATAAGACTATTTGTATGTGTTTAGTGTCAGTTATTACAGTCCCCCCAGCACTGGTTATTTAAGTGCATTTTATTTTCTCCTGCTAGTCAGTACGCTCCTTGAGGACAAGGATTCTGTTTCATTAATGTTGGGTCCCCACAGCTTCTTTCGAATCTAGCACAATGCATAGTAACTGCTTAGTTAACACTTACTAAATGAATGAATCTTTAGGGAGATGTAGGATTTTGGTTTTGTTTTTGCTTTCTTTGAGACAGTCTGACAGGCTGTAGTGAGGTGGCACAATCTCAGCTCACCGCAACCTTTGCCTCCCAGCCTCAAGCGATTCTCATGCTTCACTCTCCCAAGTAGCTGGGGTTACAGGTGTGTACCACCACGCCCGGCTAATTTTTGTATTTTTAATAGAGATGGGGTTTCACTGTGTTGGCCAGGCTGATCTCAAATTCTTGACCTCAGGTGATCTGCACACCTGAGCCTCCCAAAGTGCTGGGATTATAGGCATGAGCCATCGTGACCAGCTAGAAATGCAATTTTATTACTTATAAGTATAGATAAGAACAAAAGTGCTTTGCAGTTCTCAAGCATGTATTCCCTGCAATGTCATCTCTCTGTTCATTAATATCAGCCCATATTTGCATCAACTGTGGGTTAAATATATATGGTAGATGACTTAGAAATAGTCTTTGCCCTAAAGGGGTTTACAGTCTGGTGAAGACAGTAGATGAATGCTCAGATACTGTAATCTAAAGTAGGGTAAAGTGAGAATCAAAGGAAAGATACAAAGTAAGTTCCTTAAGTGCTTGTAGGATGGAGAGATACATCAGCTCTAGGTCATCAGGACCTCTTCCTGGAAGAGGTCATCTTTGACATGAGACCAAGCATAGTGACTCACACCTATAATCCTAGCACTTTGGGAGGCTGAGGCAAGCAGATTGCTTCAGCTCAGGAGTTGGAAACCAGCCTGAGCAACATAGCAAGACCTTGTCTCTATAAAAAATAAAAATTAAAAAAAGAAATTAGCATTGACAGATGTTTAGAGTGGGTGAACATAAGGAATGAAGATATAAAAGTTTTTGGTGTGTTCAGGAAACAGTATAATTAGGATGTGTGGCAAGCAGCACCTGAACAGATAGAGACTAAGTATTGTCAAAGGCTTTGAATGGCAGGATGAGGAGTTTATTTTCACTTGTAGATACCGGGGAGCCATTAACTGTTTTTGAGCAGGGATGTTATTATGTGATGGTATCTGTGCCTTAAGTTAAATTGGCAGCAGCATTTTATACAGCGGATTCTTTCAGAGGAGAGGTAAAAGCAGGGAAGCTAATTTGGAAACTGATGGAGTAAGCCAGGCAAGAATTAACAAGGACTATAACCAAGTTGGAAGCAATGGGTTGGAATGAAGTGGGTATGTTCAGACTAGAGGTAGGCTCTATATGGTCTTGTAACTGCTCAGATGCAGAAGCTGGGAAAGGATGATTTGAATGGTCAAATTTCTGAATCAATAAGCCTACTGCTAGTGGAAAGACAGGGGCTCCAAGGGAGCTTATTTTGAGGGGAAGATGGTAATTTTGGTTCCGGATGCTTTGAGTCATCATGATTTCCTGATGGAGATAATTAGCAGGTATTCGGTATTGCAAATCTCTGATTTGGGAGGGAAGTTTAAGAGATTTAGGAGTTATATGTGCAGCTATGTTGTGGGTATTGATGAGATCCCTAAAACAGAAGAGGAACAGTTTTAGTAGGAACCAATGTGTTAAAGCCACAGTTTCTCATCCACTAGGGAGTTTTTCTAAAATGCATACTCCTTAGCTCCACCTCCAGATATTCTCATTCAGCAGGTCTGGATGGGACCCAGGAATCTGCATTTTTATTAAGCCCCACAGAAGACCAGGATACCAACAATCTTAAGTCATACTTTGAGAAACATTGATTTTTTCTTTCTTTCTTTCTTTTTTTTTTTTTTTTTAACACCCTTTGTATCTGGAAAGAGAAACATTGATTTGAGGAAGGAGTGCTATACTAACATTCTTCCTCTTGCTGTTCTTATTTGAGACACCTCTCCCAACAATTTGCTAGTATTTTAAATGGAATGAAATGTTTTACTTTCATAAAGACTATGATATCCCATTGGTGTTTTGTTTTTTGTTTTTTTGTTTTGTTTTGTTTTGTTTTGAGGTGGAATCTTGCTCTTTTGCAGAGGCTGGCATACAGTGGCATGATCCTGGCTCACTGCAATCTCCGTCTCCCAGGTTCAAGCAATTCTCCTGCCTCAACCTCCCTAGTAGCTGGGATTGCCACCATGGCCAGCTATTTTTTGTATTTTTAGTAGAAACAGGGTTTGCCATGTTGGCCAAGCGCGTCTCAAACTTCTGACCGCAAGTGATCTGTCTGCCTCAGCCTCCCAAAGTGCTGGTATTACAGGCATGAGCCACCACACCTGGCCAATATGCCATTGATTTTCTTGGAAATTAGCAAATTGTATGGAGTTTTCACTGAGTTCCATAGAGGTGTTTTCTTTTAATATATGTTTTAGAACTCGATTTCTCAAGAAAATTGGTCTAACCTATACTTCTAACAGCAATAAAAGTGATTTATAATTAGTATAATATAACTTTGGAAGTAGAACCTTGAATTCGTTCAGCCTTTAATATGTTTCTATGATGATAGGCCCTGTGGAGAAGTTAGTTGATGATGAATTTTAACCTATGTGTGTAATTTCATTTCAGCTCTTATGTTTGGATACTTCTGCCTTGAAGCTTCTGAGTAGTTTCTTATGTTCTTTTTTAAAAAAAATTTTTGCGACAGGGTCTTGCTCTGTACCCAGGCTGGAGTGCAGTGGTGTGATCACAGGTCACTGCAGCTTCAACCTCCCAGGCTCAAGCAATCTTCCTGCCTCACTTCTTTTTTTTTTTTTTTTTTTTTTTTTTTTTTTTTTTTTTTAATAGAGATAAACGATCTCACTGTGTTGCCCAGTCTAGTCTCAAATTCCTGGGCTCAAGTGATCCTTCTGCCTCGGCCTCCCAAAGTGCTGATATTACAGGCATGGGCTGCTGTGCTCAGCTTCTTGTGTTCTTATAGAGTAGAGGTTTAAGGAAAAACTTAGAAAAGATTCTTATATATTTGAGAGAATTTGGGGGCTTTTGCGGAAACCTTCAGTTTAATGCTGATAATTTTGAACTTTAAAATATTTTTAAGTTTGTACTTCCTTCCCTGCAAACCACCCCCGCCCCATCTCGTGATCTTATAAGAATTAACATTGAGGCTATGTAGTTACAGTAGTCCAGTGATGAGAAAAAAATTAGCTGCAATTGAAACCTCCTGAAACTTTTTTCCTCACTAATATAGTTGTTTTAAGCAGTAGTCAGATTATCGTTAATAGTGTTCATTGCTTACGGTCCGTGTAAAATATTTTGTAGTTAGTATGAGGAGTGTGATAAACTCCTATGCAATGGTAAACATTCTAAAACACAGTTGTTAAAAGTCAGAATATTTTCATGTCACATAACATTTATTGCTACTTTAGTTAGGCATGTGGAATGTTATAGAAAAATCCATTAAAATGTTATTTTCAGCTTAAAAAGTTCTTGCTGTGAATCTTATAAAACATTCCTTTTCAGAATAAGTTGAAATCATTGGCTTCCAAAGGAGTACCAAATGTAATTTCAGAAGATACATTAAAAGGTCAGGATTCCTTGTCAACAGATACAGGCCAGTCCCGTCAGCCAGAGGAACTGTCTGGTGCTGCTGGAATGGAGCAAACAGAATCGGAAGACGAGCCTTCTCCTCAGATGGATGACCTGTCCACAAGCTTGGATAACCTCAGTGTCAGTTCACTGCCAGAGGCCTCAGTTGTTCGTCCAAACCAGGATTACAATTTAGTGAATTCTTTGCTAAATCTTACTAGAAGTCCTGTGAGTTGTGATTTTTACTTTTTTCCCCCAACATGATTTCAATAATGTGCATTTTATTTATTTATTTATTTATTTATTTATTTATTTGAGACAGTCTTGCTCTGTTGTCCAGGCTGGAGTACAGCGGTGCGATCTCGGCTCACTGCAACCTCCATCTCCTGGGTTCAAGCAATTCTCCTGTCTCAGCCTCCGCAATAGCTAGAATTACAGGTGTGCACCACCATGCCTGGCTAATTTTTGTATTTTTAGTAGAGATGGGTTTTGCCATGTTGACCAGGCCGGTCTCAAACTTTTGACCTCAGGTGATCCACGCGCCTTGGCTTCCCAGCGTGCTGGGATTACAGGCATGAAGCACCACACCCAGCCGATAATATGCATTTACAATAGACCAAGGCTGGGTGCGGTGGCTCACACCTGTAATCCTAGCACTTTGGGAGGCCGAGGCTGGTGGATCACAAGGTCAGGAGTTCGAGACCAGCCTGACCAACATGGTGAAACCCCATCTTTACTAAAAAAAATACAAAAATTAGCTGGGTGTGGTGACACATGCCTGTAATCCCAGCTACTCAGGAGGCTGAGGCAGGAGAATTGCCTGAACCTGGGAGGTGGAGGTTGCAGTGAGCTGAGATTGTGCAACTGCACTCCAGCCTAGGTGACAGAGTGAGACTTCATCTCAAAAATAAATAAAATAAAATAGACCAAAAAAAATCTATTTTTCTTTTAGTGTAAAACATTAAATCCTTTTATGTTGATTTTTTTTCAATCAGCCTGATGTGTATACAATTCAAGAATTGAAGGGGAATTTTTTTTTTCCCTTTAGGATGGCCGAATAGCTGTGAAGGCATGCGAAGGCTTGATGCTGTTAGTAAGTTTGCCAGAGCCTGCGGCTGCAAAGTGCCTTACACAGAGCACTTGCTTGTGTGAACTACTGACAGACAGACTTGCCTCCCTGTACAAGGCCCTACCTCAGTCAGTGGATCCGTTAGATATTGAAACTGTGGAAGCAATTAACTGGGGGTAAGCACTGTTACTTGTATTTTCCCATAAAGGCAACTTCTAACACCTACATTTTAAAATTCATTTCTATTTTGCAATGATAGAAATCTTTGAAAAATGTAACACTACTAGTGATCATTAATTGGGAATATTTTCTTGACGCTTATATTAAATTTATCAGTGTTAATGAATTGGTGTAGGAACAATCCAGCTGTTATATAATTAAGATATTTTATTTTGTCCATTAAACTGATCAGTTTTTAAGGGCTTACATTAAAACTAGTAATTTTACCTGATTATTAAAAACAAAAAACCCTAAGAGAAGGAATCTCCTTTTAAAATAATTTCCATAGCCTAGAGCAGTCTAATCTGTCTCCTGGCCAGTTTGGACAGAATCTCTTCTTCTACCTCATTCTTTCACCTCTTCTTCCAACCTATTAGACACCCCAACTTGATTCTCACAGGGAATATGTGATTCTTGCAGAATATTCACAAGTTATTAAAAAGTATAAAGCAGCACAAACAAGTTGCCCATAATCCCACCACTGATATGCAGTCTAATATTTTGACATAATCACCTTTTATTGTATTTCTCTGCATTTTTAACATTCCTTTTTTTTTTTCCACTCTTATTTTCTGTCAACATCTATAGGGCAGACCCACTTGTTAACATTATGACTGTATTGCATTTTAGGGCAGGAAGAGGGCACTCACTATTTCTGTTTGTAGATCTTCCTTTACCATTCTTTTCCATCCTAGTAGCTGAGAACCTCTACCTTTTCATTGATGTTACTTGGTACCACTGAGGGCAGGAGTTTGAGAAGCTATCCCAGTGTTATTTCTCTTGCAGCTCCATTTTTTTTTTTTCTTTTTGAGACAGAGTCTTGCTCTGTGGCCCATGCTGGAGTGCAGTGAAGTGATCTCAGCTTACTGCAACCTCTACCTCCCAGGTTCAAGCTCTCAGGTTCTCGTGCCCCAGGCTCCCAAGCAGCTGGGATTACAGGCATGAGCCACCCTGCTGATGATTTTTTTTTTTTTTTTTTTTTTTTTTTTTGTATTTTTAGTATTTTTAGTAGAGGCAGAGTTTCATCATATTGGCCAGACTGGTGATGGACTCCTGACCTCAAGTGATCCACCCACGTCAGCCTCCTAAAGTGCTGGGAGTAAAGGCGTGAGCCACCATGCCTGGCCTCCTGCAGCTGCATTCTGCTTTAATCTCTCTTCTGCTACTTAATAAGTGAAAATTATTTACAGCTCTTATTTAAAAGATTTTCTCTTATCCTTGGTTTCTTTTATGGAACCCTCTTCTGACTGTCCTCCAGCATTGCCTGTGTGAATGTACCGTACTATCTGAGTGTGTTCACATGCCTTCATTTTTCCATACATAGTGAATAGGGTCCATACCTTTGAATGACTTTGGACTCAGCAATTCTTCCTCGTCTTACAGCTTGGATTCATATAGTCATAAAGAAGATGCTTCAGCATTTCCAGGAAAACGAGCCTTAATTTCATTTCTTTCCTGGTTTGATTATTGTGATCAACTCATTAAGGAAGCCCAAAAGGTTTGAAAATTTTCTGGTTTTTTTTTTTTTTATCATTTTAAGATGTAAATATTTACTAAGTGAAATTAGAATCCCTAATTTATATCTCCAAATATACTTGAATTGTCTTAGAATACCATGGTTAGTAAATAAGTAAACAAAAAAGTGTATATGTGTTTGTATGTGTATATTACAGTTCTAGAATAAATCAAAGTTCAAGTTCTTCCCTTTTATATTTCCTTAAATATTATGGTAGAGTGCTTTATAAAGTAACACTGACCTGCCTTTAGTCCTGCTCTTTGGGGAAATGTTAATACTACATGGACATCATAATAATTTTTTGTCCTATTCCTCTTATTCTTGGAAATTTAGAAAAAATGAGGCCAGGCACAGTGGCTCACACCTGTAATCCCAACACTTTGGGAGGCTGAGGCAGGCAAATCACAAGGTCAAGAGATTGAGACCATCCTGGCCAACATGGTGAAACCTCATCTCTACTAAAAATACAAAAATTAGCTGGGTGTGGTGGCAGGAGCCTGTAGTCCCAGCTACTTAGAAGGCTGAGGCAGGAGAATCGCTTGAACCCGGGAAGTGGAGGTTGCAGTGAGCCGAGGTTGCACCACTGCACTCCAGCCTGGCAATAGAGTGAGACTCTGTCTCAAAGCAAAAAAAATATATAAGTGACCCAGTAGCCAACATCTAATTTAAATTTATATGCCACCAATAAAAGAGTCATTAAGCAAGTTTTGTCTTTCCACATTAATTCAGTTGGGGAGTGCAAACTGATTTATTGATGTTACAAATTGTTCTTTCTATTATATTGAAAAATGATGTTTCTACTATATTCTAGACTGCTGCTGTTGCTCTTGCCAAAGCTGTTCATGAAAGATTTTTCATTGGTGTTATGGAACCTCAATTAATGCAAACGTGAGTAGCCTATTTTCTTTTGGAAAAAAAAAATAGCATCACTGTGTCATATCATTTTTGCCCACTAATTACCTGTTCGTTGTGCTCAGTTCTGAGATGGGTATTCTCACATCCACTGCTCTGCTTCATCGCATCGTTCGGCAAGTGACCTCTGATGTTTTGCTTCAAGAAATGGTGTTTTTTATCCTTGGAGAACAGAGGGAACCAGAAACTCTGGCAGAAATCAGCAGACATCCTTTAAGGCATAGGTTAATTGAGCATTGTGATCACATATCTGATGAGGTAAGCTATGTAGTGATTTAGTATTGGACTTAGATTCTTTGGAATACTGGTTTTAATGTATTACACTTGAGATGTTTTCAATACAACCTCTTTTTATTGGCTTTAGAAATTGAAAGCATGACTCACAAGATGGCAAGAAGAATAACTTATCTAAAGATATTTTTCAGTTGGCTTTTATCAATTTCGGTTTCAGATAAGCATAATGACATTACGAATGTTTGAACATCTTTTACAAAAACCCAATGAGCACATTCTTTACAACTTGGTCTTGAGAAATCTTGAAGAAAGAAATTATACAGAATATAAACCTTTGTGCCCAGAAGATAAAGATGTGGTAGAAAATGGACTGATAGCAGGAGCAGTGTAAGTTTCCATCCAACTCCATGAGTTCAGCATTTCATGTAGAGACAGAACTTTCTCTCTCCTCTTATCTATCTCCTTTATCCTCAAAAGAAATACTTCCTACAGTTTAAAAGTTCTTAAAAGTAAAATTAGATGCACCAATACTACCATCCTTTTATATGACAAATAATATTGTGTATTCACTAGACCTAATAATAAAATAGTATAAAATGTTAATTCATCTAGAAAATATACATTATTCTTTAATCCTTTATATTAGCAAAATGTTCTTATTTAAGAAGAAATGTAACATTTTCTAGGAACGTAGTAGAGAAGCTTTTGGTTTAGAAAAATGTCATAATAAAATATTGTTTTTATATGTCATTAAATTTAACTTAGAGATCTGGAAGAAGATCCATTATTTACTGACATTTCACCAGAAAACACTTTGTCAAACCAAGAGTGGCTTAGTTCTTCACCTCCTGCTACTCCAGACCACCCCAAAAACGATGGAAAAACTGAAGTTCATAAAATTGTAAATAGGTGAGTTGCTATATAAAATTTGACTTCCATCTCTTTTTTTTTAATTTTTAAATTTTTGTATATTTATTATTATTATTACTTTTGAAATGGAGTCTCACTCTGTTGCCTATGCTGGAGTACAGTGGCACAATCTCTGCTCACTGCAACTTCTGCCTCCTGGGTTTAAGTGATTCTTCTGTCTCAGCCTCCTGAATAGCTAGGGATTACAGGCTCCCAGCACATCACTTAGCTAAGTTTTATATTTTTAGTAGAGATGGAGTTTCATCCTGTTGGCCAGGTGGGTCTCAAACTCCTGACCTTAAGTGATTCCACCAGGCCTGGCCTCTCTTTTACTTGTTTTTATAACATAAAAGAGCTCTGCTCTTAGATGGTTACAGAAATCTCTTATGAACTTGATCTTCTTTAAAGATTTTGTCAGTTTTGTCTTCCTTATGTAACAAGTGCCAGCCTGGGGGCAACACCTGATACTAAGAGAAAAGCTCTGCTTAACATTAACAATGGTTAAATGAACCCTCAAGGTAACCTCGCCCCCGCCTTTTTTTGAGACAGAGTCTCGTGGTGTCGCCCAGGCTGGAGTGCAGTGGGACAATCTCGGCCCACTGTACCTGGCTCACTGCAACCTCTGTCTCCCAGGTTCAAGTGATTCTCCTGCCTCAGGCTCCTGAGTAGCTGGGATTACAGGTGTGCGCCACCACACCTGGCTAATTTTTGTTTTTTTTGGAGAGGCAGGGTTTCACCATGTTGGCCAGGCTGGTCTCGAACTCCTGACCTCAAGTGATATACCTGCCTTGACCTCCCAAAGTGCTGGGATTACAGGTGTGAGTCACTGTGCTGGGCCATCCCTTTTTTTTTTTTTTTTTTTTTTTTTTTTTAATATAAATGATTTAATTTTAAGTAATTCCCTATTGTAACAACATTGAGAATTGCTGGTTTCATAAAATTTATAAAACATGTGTGCTAAGTGTTGTCGGGCTGTTCCTTTTTGTTAGTTCGTGGTTTTATGTTTTTTTTAAAAGTGCCCTTTTCTGTGGCAACCTTTTTCTCTCTTTTGCTTCCCTTGCAATATTGTCACTAATAGGCCTGGTTCTGACAGGTGATTTTAGAGAAAAATTGCATGTGGCTCAAGATGCAAAATTAGGGTACATAAAAATCTCAAGTTCAATTACTTAAAACCAGTTTCCTGAGATTAACAAACGCCATGGCAATCTGTCATTATACAACAATCTGAAGAGGGGAAAAAAAAGTCTTTCTTAGGCTCACTGCTATTTTAAGTGGAGTCAGTAATTTTTAAATAAAACCTTTAAAATAATGAGAATATTTAATCAGTGAGTTGTAAAACTCATTCAACGTAAGGAATTAAAAACATACAATTTCATTTTTTTGGTTTCCATTTGTGTTAATACCTAGCTGAACTTAGAATATCACCAGATACTTTAATACTTGTAAAGTTATTATTGAATTGTGAGAGTATTGTTGATTATGATCTTTTTCACTTTTACTTTTTGTTTTTCTTTTTTTCATGCAAATGGACATCTTGCATAATTGTGGCCTATTTCATTTAAGTTTTCTTTGTCTGGTACCGGATGAAGCAAAATCCTCCTACCATGTCGAGGGCACTGGATATGACACCTACCTCCGAGATGCTCATAGGCAGGTAGGTGAAGTCACTAAACTTCGGAAATGAAGCCTAAGAATGTGCGCGCGCACCCACCCACCCACCCACACACACACACACACACACACACACACACACACACCTTGTCACTCTGCCTAACACCACTGTTCCAAGGAAATTAGTTCATTCTTATTAAAAATGAAACCTGGGCCAGGCACGGTGGCTCACGCCTATAATCCCAGCACTTTGGGAGGCCAAGGCAGATGGATCACTTGAAGTCAGGAGTTTGAGACCAGCCTGGCCAACATAGTGAAACCCTGTCTCTACTAAAATACAAAAATTAGCTGGGTGTGGTGGCCTGTAGTCCCAGCTACTCAGGAGGCTGAGGTAGGAGAATCACTTGAACGCAGGAGGTGGAGTTTGCAGTGAGCCGAGATCGTGTCATTACACTCCAGCCTGGGCAACAGAGTGAGACTCTGTCTCAAACAAAAAAGAAAAATAAGGTCTGGTCTCTGCTCTCACTACTTTTGCTTTGTGTAAGTGACCTTCGTTTGCACTTCACCGATTGTGTCTCTGTGTCAAGATTTCTTTATGCTCTTTTAATTTTTTCCCACTTTAAATTATGTCTCACCTGGATCCATTTCTCCTACTGATCCAAAACATATCTGAACAATTCTACCCACCACACATGCTCGATCCCCATCCACAGGCCATTATTCTTTTCTCCTTCATTCTGATGTAGACAGTGGTATTCAAGTATAGTCCCTGCTGCCCAGCGCTCGCTCCTTCAGCCCCTGCACTCTACCTTTCTACCTCACTCAGACGACTTGCTCGAAGGGTTGCTCTTAGTTACTAAATTAAGGAGCCTTTCTCATTCTTCTTTCCTCTTTATAGCATTTTACATTGTAAGATTTTTAAAATTGTATTTAAAAACTTCCTCCTACAAAGAAAACTTGTCCTGAGATAAAATTCAACATTTTAACTATTTTAAAGTGTACAACTTAATGTTTTTTTAGTATATTCACAATGTTATGCAGCCATCATCACTAATGCCAGAAGATTTTTATCACCCCAGAAAGAAACCCTGTGCAAATCAAGCAGTCACTTCTTACTGACTCCTCCTCCCTGCCAACCCCCAGCCCCTGGCAACCACTCATCTACTTTTCATCTCTATGGCTTTGCCTATTCTGGACATTTCACAAAAATGGAATCATACTATATGTGGCTCTTTGTGTTGGGCATTTTTACTCAGCATAATGTAATGTTTTTGAGATTCATTCAAGTTGAAGCATGCATCAGTACTTCCTTTCTTTTTATGGCTGAATATTTTATTGTACAAGTATTTTGATTATTTGTCAGTTAATGGACATTTAAGTTGTTTCTACTTTTTTGTTATTATGAATACTTCTGCTGTGAGTATTCCTTTTTTGTTGAATACAGGTTTTCCATTGTCTTAGGTGTATGCTTAGTAGTAAAATTGATGGGTCACATAGTAATTCTATATTTCACTTTTTTGAGGAACTGCCCAACTGTTTTCCACAGTGGTGGCATCATTTGACATCACACCAGCAGTGTATGGGGTTCCAATTTCACCATTTCCTTGCCAATACTTACCATTATTTTTAAGTTATAGCTACCCCAGTAGGTGTGAAGTGATGTCTTCTTGTGGCTTTGATTTACATTTCCTTATGACTAATGATGTTGAGTACCTTTTCATGTGCTTAGCAGACACTTGTACTCTTCTTTGAAGAATACATCCTGGCCAAGCGCGGTGACTCACACCTGTAATCCCAGCACTTTGGGAGGCCAAGGCAGAAGGATCACTTGAAGCCAGAAAATTGAGACCAGTCTGGACAATCCCCTTTTTACAAAAAATTAAAAAAAAAAAATTATCAATGTATGGTAGCATCCACCTGTAGTCCCAGCTACTTTGGAAGCTGAGGCAGGAGGACTGCTTGAGCACCAGAGTTTGAGGCTACAGTGACCTATGCTGGTGCCACTGCACTCCAGCCCCTGGGCAACAGAGCAAGACCTTGCCTCCCCAAAATAAAAAAATAAATCCTCTGCCTGTATTTTAATTGGGCTACTTGTCTTTTTATTGTTGAGTTCTAATGATCCCTTATATATTCTGCATAGGAGATCCTTCTCAGATATATTATTTACAAATATTTTCTCCCATCTGGGAGTTGCCTTTTCATTTTCTTCATAGTGTCCTTCTACACACAGAAGTTTTTATTTTTGTTACTTTTGGTTTGTTTTTTTTTGTTGTTGTTGTTGTTATTGTTGTTTTGAGACAGTCTAGCTCTGTTGCCCAGGCAAGAATGTATTGACGCGATCTTGGCTCACTGAAACCTCTGTCTCCTGGGTTCAAGCAGTTCTCGTGCCTCAGCCTCCCGATAGTTGGGATTGCAGGTGCACCACCACACCCAGCTAATTTGTGTATTTTTAGTAGAGATGGAGTTTCACCATGTTGTCTAGGGTGGTCTCGAACTCCTGACCTCAAGTGATTCTGCCCCCATTGGCCTTTCAAAGTGCTGGGATTACAGGTGTGAGCCACTGCACCTGGCCAAAAGTTTTTAATTTTGATGAAGTACAACTTAACTATTTTTACTTTGTGCTTTTTCTGACATACCTAATAAATCATTGCCTAACCAAGATTACATAGATTTTCACGTAAGTCTCTAAGAATTTCATAGTTTTATTTTATCCATTTAGGCCTTTAATCTATTTTGAGTTAATTATTGTGCATAGTGTTTTACAGGTAAACATCCAGTTGTCTCTTCAGCAGTTAGTGAAAAGGCTATTTTCCATTTATTGGCTCTAAGGGTAAAGTTTATTTGAGGACTCTCCATTCTATTCTACTGGCCTATGTATCTGTCCGTATCCCAGCACCACCCTGTCTTGATTACTTCAGCTTTGTAGTAAGTTTTGAAATTGAGAAGTATGAATTGTTCAGTCTGATTCTTTCTCAAAATCGCTTTGGATATTTGGAGTCCCTTATAATTCCATATGAATTTTAGGATTACTTTGTCCATTTCTACAAAACAACAATAACAACAAAAAAAAGGTAGTTGAAATTTTTGTAAGGCTTAATTTGAATCTGTAGATTGCTTGGAGGAGTGCAGCCGTCTTAACAATATTAAGGTTTCCAGTTCACAAACACCAAATATTTTTCTATTTACTCGGATTCTCTTTAATATTATTCAACAGAATTTCATAGTTTTCAGTGTACAAATCTTGCATTTTCTTCTTTAAATCTATTCCTAAGCATTTTATTCTTTATTGTAAGTGAAATTATTTTGTGAACCTCATTTCTGATTGTTCTTTCCCAATGTAGAAGTACCGCTGGTTTTTGCGTATTGAGCTTCTATCCTGTAACTTCGCTGAGCTTATTTAAACCGCTGCTCGACCCCCAACTCCAACCCCAGCCCCAGCCCCCGCCATTTAAAACTTTATCTTTTTTAAGGCTTCTGCAGCATAATTCTTTGCTCCTGCAGCTTTTAGGTCTCAGGTGTCATTTTTATTCTGTCTGCCATATTAATGATGTGGCCAGAAAAAAAAAAAATCTATCATTGGCCCTCTTTTCTGTCTTCATTCCTTTGATATTCTTTTGGTTTAGCATTCATCTCTATCGTGAATTCCATATCTGAAGTATCCCCAAAGCTCTAGCCTCAGCCACTTAGATGTTCTTCTGAGACCTCAGACTTTATCTTTCTAAAGTAAAACTTATCATTGATTCCTCTAAAACTGCATCTGCTCCTTTGTTTCCTGCTGTGGTCAGTGGCACATCCATCCTTCTGGTCATCCAAGGTTTGTGTTTCAGAGTTGTCTG